ATATAATGAATAATATAAACTACTAGCTCCCAACCATCAGATCTTCATCGGGTGGTTTAAAATTCATATAACTGTCAGATTTTAATTTTTTCCAAAAATTAGATCATAACAGAATTTTGGATGTGTGTACTAAAAAATACGGTGCACAATAAAAAAATATTTTTAAAAATATTAAATGATCAAAATACCCTTAAAAATAATGAGGGTAATTTGGCCTTTTTAAATTATCGAAATTAATTGTTCCATATTTTTATATGGTGTGCAATGATGTAGGTATATACACCCAAAATTTCATCTTAATCTAATTTATAAAAAAATATTACAATTAAAATAGTGATATAAATTTTGAACAAAGGGATAAAAGATCTGACGGCTGGGAGCTAGTAGCTTATACTATTCATTATAGAGATGATAGAAGTAGGATTTGTCTTGTAGTAATATTTACAAACTTGCCCCACAAAAATAACTTTTTTTAAAAAATAGACTACAAAATTATTAAATCCACCCTTCACAATTCTCTCGTTGTGAAGTTTTGATTATTCGCCTATAGGTGAAAATGAACAGTGATTTCACCTACCCTCATCACCATCCAACAATATCGCACAGTCACAATTGTCCGGTAGTGTTTTAATTTTTTATTTTTTATTTACTAATCGGAATGATCTAAAATTTGGAACTTGTGTATATCTTAGTGAAGCACAACTAATAAAAATATGAAAAAAATAATTTGTAAAATATAAATTGACCAAAATACCCCTCTAACTTTTCAGGGGTATTTTGGTCTATTTATATTTTACGAATTATTTTTAAATATTTTTTATTAAATACTCCTTGATGAGAATAATGGATGCTTAGAATTTCAAGTTATTTGAATTCATAGAAAAAAAATTTAAAATTTAAATACGAAATGATGTCATGACCGTCAGACCGGTCTAGATTCAATCTAGGCCGTTGGGCTCACATGTTCGTATGAGCTAGTGAGCTAATCTCATCATTTTCCTATATATAGGAAGATACTACAACGCCTATAGTTTTCCTCTCTCT